CCACAGTGCCTCGAGTGAGGCTGCAGTGACTGAGCTGCTCTCTGCAACGTGTGTGAGACACTGAGCACCAGAAACTCTGCAGTCAGTGAAGCTACATTACAACAAAACCTTTCTAAGATCTTATACTGTTATTTTTTAAGGTTTAGTTCATTATTTACAATTCTTGTTATTTGAGACTTCCAGAAATGGAAGACAAATTTGAGATCTTTTGCTCTAAGCATTGAATACCTGCTTTCTTCTTGCTCCAACAGACTGCGATATGTCGCTATTTCCTCCTCCAGCTTCATCCTTGTGTTCAGGAGAATTTCGTGCTCTCGAAGCTGTTTCTCAATTCCCCTTCTCACATCCAACAACTCTTTCTCCAAGCATTCAATCTCACCTTCCAAATTTTGTAGCTGCATGTGGTACTGCTGTTCTGTGGCCCTCAGTGAACGTTCCAAACCCTTTTCCTGTGAAATTTAAGTCATATTTTAAAATTTGGAAAGTTTGTGTGTAAAGATGTTACAGGTGTACATGGTTTCATTAACAAATTGTGTATTTTTACATTAGTTCTTGTAAGATTATTCTTTAAGAACAGGAGTAAAACTTTTAAGGTAATATTTTGGCTGAGAATTTTTCCAGTAAAATCTGTGGTAATTTAAGATCAGATGAAAGAGTGGCCACATCTTGCATAGCAATCCACTGCCTTGAGTTTACAGATCTCTGATTTTACAGTTAAACAATGTCCAGCTCAGTGCTGTATGAAGTGTCTGTGTGCTCTTGGAGCTTTTCTATACTGCTGAATTGAGCAAATGGCTGACATTTTGTCACTAATGAATTGATAAATCTGGTCCACACATTAAAAAATGCTCATAAACATGCTGTGAGATAAGGCAGAATGACCAGGAGCTTGGTGGGGGAGTATCATGCAAATATGTGCTTGGGAGGTGTGAAAACAGGACTCCAGGTGTGTCTGGAGTGGCAGATCCTGCTCCAGAACATGTGCTGGGTCAGTATGTGAGTGAGGGCTCTGTGAGGAGCTGGAGCCCCCCAAAGCTGAGCATTCCCATGATGGATTTCTGCTTTATGGTGCCTGTGACTGTTACAGAAATTGACTGTGGCATAGTTTACATCAAGGACAAGACTTCTTTTTTTTCCAAGAGATTTCAAATTTCATTTCTGACTCTTACCACAGCGTGGAGAGACTCGATTTCGATCTGCATGTGGTGCCACTGCCGTCGGGCTTCACACAGTTCTGCTCTGGCTGCCTTTAGTGCTTCTGCATCTCTGTCCATTCTTTTACTTGTACCTTCTTCTAACTACAGGGGACATAAAAAAGATAACAATATTAAAAATATTCAAATAACAATAATAAATTGGCACATAAAAATGTCTAGCTGGAATTTTTGTTGGAGTCGTATAAATGTGTGAAAGCTCACAGTGAGGAGTTAATATTTTTGTGCTGTGTAGAGGGAAAGCCCTTATCCCACCATGTTTGATGGGAAGTGGTTGGCCACATCTCTATCCCTGGCACCTTTGTCCTAGAGGAATGCTCATAGAAATTACCCAAATGTATTGAGACCTTACTCACCTCTAGAGTAAAGGGGCTTAAAGGAGATGCACATAGTTCAAACTTCCAAGTTTGAATAAAGTGCTTTAATTTTAATGCATTTTGATTTCAGAATTTTGGTTTTTTTTCCTTTTATCCTGTTAAAAGTAGCTTTTTAAAACCACTCCTGATCATGTATGGGGTCATTTAGATTTGGACTTTGATTTCGATAGTGTGTTTCTGCATGTAACTTCCAGAATGATTGTTTGGCTTATGGAAGTTATTTTTCTTTTTTGATTCTGGGTTTCCCTGCAAGTGGTGAAGTTGCCATAAGCCCTTGAAACAGCACTTGCTCTTTTGCATATTTTACTGCTTTATGCAGGTTCTTATGATGACACTGACTCTAAGAAAATAATCTCTTTAATTCAGGTCTTATAAACTAAGGAAAATAAGGGGTTTGTTCCCCTGTACATTCTGACCTATTGCAACTTTACCAGATGATAATTTTTGTGAAAAATCTCGATTTGTCTCATCCACAAGTGAATCCCCAATATCTTTGCTTCCCTTTTCTTGCCTGGGTACTGCAGAATTTGTGTGACAGGATCTAACCAATGTGCATTGGTTGCTTTGTGCCAGCACAAAGATAAAACTTGGCTTCCCTGTCGGGTGTGCAGCTGCCATGTGCCTGGCACTGCTGGTGGATCAGCCGGGCTGCAGCAGCGTCTGGCCTGTCCTTAAAACAAACCTGGGACTCCTGCAATACCTGAGTACAAGGTGACAGAATACCTGATTCCCCCTTGAATTTCTTTACATTTGATGGCTCAAAATTGTTTTGCCATTTGATTTCAGTTGGGTTTAGAGCTGTTTGTATGTAAATCCCTAACAGCAGCATTGTGTGTTGGTAACATTTAATCAAGCTATATGAGAAAGCAACTGATATTTGCTGAAGAGCAAAACATAGTTTTTACTGTGAGCAATAGAAAATAGTTTCTGCAGAGGTACAGTGTACTTTACTAGAGGGCTAAAAATGGCAAAGATTGCTGTATATAAAAGGATTCTCTTCAGGATTCTTTTTTCTTCTGAGATAACTACATGGAGCTAGAGGTTACCCTGTTACAGCCTATGTCATCATCCCTTAAATCCCAGCAATAACCCGGCTGCAGGGGCAGAAAAGCATCCTGATGAATTACACAGCACTCGTTCAGCGTGAATCTATACCCTTAAAAAAATGTATTTCCCATTCTTCTAGTTCACGTCTTACTGCGGTAAAATCCACGTCCCTTCCCCGAAAATCTGCTGCATTGAAAGGAATTACTGTACCTCATAGAGGCTGCGGGAGGAACTGTACGGCCAGGGAATGGCTCCGTACTCTGCAAGGTGTGTGGCTGTGAGGAGGCATTACCTGCGTCCTTGCTGAGCTGACGGTCTTTATCTGATTTCGGGTGATGAGCGATTCATACTTTGCCCTGATCTCACGGCGGAGCCGAGCCGGCTCCATCCTCCTCCTTCTTCTCCTCCCATCCTCCCCGGCTCCCGGCTCCGCTGCCGGTGGCGCGGGGCTGCGGCCGCGGGCCCGTTAAAGCGGCAGCGGCCCATTTCGGGGAGCGCGGGGGACTCCCAACCTGCCAGCCCGTCCTGGCAGCAGGTCAACACAGCAAAGGATGGCACTAAAAAATCTATTCCTAAATTATGTGCCGAAATTAATATATCAATGTCATAATGTTTTTGTTACGCTGGAACTGTGGGGTTTTATAACCTCAGAAATGTGGGGGTAAGAGAGAGAAAGCAAAGGATAAAGATGCAGCTGCCCAGCATGAGATGCTCTGGCAAGAGGATGTGGAAGGACAGAGCCTCCCCTGCACAGCTGGGTTGCTGTCAGTGTCTCCACCATTGTTAGGGATGTCACAGAATTTCCATCTCTGAAGGTATTTGAGACTCAGTGAGATGAAGTCTTGGGTGTCTGACCAGGGTTGAGGGCTGTCCCATTTCAGAAACGAGCTGGGCTCCTGGGCATCCTCTTTTATGGGCAGAAACACACAAGGAGGGAGAGGAACCAGCACTACTGGTGGTGAGTAGTGCTGGTACAGTTTGTGGTATGGGCTCCTCTTCTGCAGATGGCAAAGTTCTGGTGAACGTACACTTCAGACACATCACTGCTGTCAGGAAAAGGGTCTTGGTTGCCTCTGACAGTGTTTCAGTACCTGTGCCAGGTGTTGGTGTGCTCAGTACACACAACATTCAATGTACATGGAGCTCTTACCCCTTTCCTGACAGCTCCCAGGCAGGTCAGCACAGGTTGTCTGGTGTGCTTCTTCATGTCCTTCTCACTGGAGCACTGTGTGATCCCTATGATCTTGTCTGCTAAGAATGGCTCTTACCTGTTTCATTTTACCTCTTGCTTATTTAATTTTTTTTTTCAGTAGTGCACAATAGCCAATACACAGTAAAAAAACTTCGATTTAACTAGAAATTTAAAATTTAGCAAAGAGAGAAATGCATTCTAAATGAGACTATATGTCAATGAAATGATAAAACAGGCAGTAAACTTTCACAAGACACACATCTTTTTAGAAGTCAAAGTATTGTACCACTTAAAAGTCTCTTGGTGTAAAAAGGCTTCCCTGTTCTTGGCTGGGTCTGTTGGCACATATGAAAGGATCCTGTGTTTGGATTATATTTTCCTTAGCTGACTGTCTTCCAGTTGACCTGGACTGAGATGGAAAGGTTTTGTTGTCCACTCTCTTTTTTACAAATATCTCAATTATCCTTGTTCTGTGTAGCTCTAAACCCAAAATATTGGCAGTGTTTGTCATTGATGGGTTGAGAACAGTTACATAAGAAAACCATTAGGAATCCATCAGACAAACACAAGGTATTGCACTTGGGATAGTATAAACTAATGCTTTCTTTTTCTTTTTAGGAGAACACCTGGCTATGAGAATCCTGAAGGCTAAAGGTAGGTAGGTATAAGCAATTGCATCTTTCCTAGAACTTCTGGAACTTTGAATTCTAGCTGCTTTCAATGTTCATATTTTATTGCTGGTTCACCACACAGCGGGAGGGGGTCATAGAGAATAAAGGGACACTAATACATTAAAGCTGGTTGAGTTCTTTTTATTAGGGATGAAAACTGGAAAATGAGGTTAGAACAGCAAAATTGTTTTATCTATTGATTATAATACTAAAGATTATAAAAAGGCAGATCTAGTTAAATGTGTGCTTCTTATTTCTGATTATTGAACAGAGATTTGATGGTATTTTTAAAGAACACCGTGGAAATAATACAGGTAATGCTGATAGAGTGAAGCAGAAAATATATTGCATGTCTGCAGGGAATGAAAGTGCCAACTTTGTCTTATCTGAAAGATTCTTAGTACAAAGCCAAATGCTTTATCACTTCATACAAAAGAATAAAATTATTTATCCATTTTGGCTTGGAGCAAATGGATCCTTTGCCACATCAGATTGTGCCTCATATCTTCTCTTCAACTTCTTTAACGTGGGATGAAACAACTTTTCCATCTACCACTTCTTCGACAATTGTCTTGATCTTTCTAGTTTTGGTTGGATCTAAACATCATGAGCAAAACAAAAAATATTTATCAGTGTATTAAAAACGATCACCCCAAGCAGCACATGACCAGGTGCCCCCTTTTCCTTTCCAATTGGCTTCTGATTTTAATGAACTCTATGATATAGTTAAACAGGATAACATATATTATTTGAGTTATAAGAATGACTTTAGAAACAAAATTTTATTCAATCAAGTTCTACCTACCTTTGGAAGAGTCCAGTGATTGTGTTTGAGATTTGGACCCTGTCAGGGATGAACTTTCAAATGTAACTCCCTGTCCAGCTCCCCTAAAAGGGAATCAGAGACATGCACTACTGCAGGGTGTTCAATAGGATCAGGATAAATTCTCTTTTCATGGTGACATTGATACATTATTTAAACAGTGAGCAGAATGGCTCACTCTCCTCAGTCACAGTGATATTTCAGATCACTGTTTGTGCCTTACTGTCTCTTGGAGAATGTTCCACTTATTTTACCTCGTATTTTCCTGGAAAGGATTTTGCTACAGAAAATAAACCCAAGGAGATATTTTGTTCCTTACACAAACTCGCCATCCAGCAGGCGCCTGTAGGTTTCAATCTCCATTTCCAGACGAGTCTTGATGTCTAGGAGCTGTTGGTACTCCGCGTTCTGGCGCTCCATGTCAGCTCTGACCTGGAAAAGCTGGGACTCCAGGTTCCCGATCTGCATTTGGATTTGTGACAGCTGAGCGCAGTAACCACCTTCCGTTTCTGCTAAAGTGTCTTCCAGGGATTTTTTCTGTGTAAGGATATTAAATAATCTCTGGTTAAGGAAAAAATCTCTTTACAAAACCAACTGAAGTAGTTTAAGGGAGTGAGCACAGCTGCATTACTTAGAAGGTTTTATTTTCTTTTTGAAAGCACCAGTTTGAAAATGGTCCCTTGTCACTTCCCTAAATGTGATGTAAAAACTCATCTGCTTTGTGACATGCTCTTTATAATCCAGTTATCTATATTACTGCTATTTAGGAACTAAAAGAATATAGGATTTAATCTGAAATAAATGCAAATCATCAATTCTATGGAATAGGATTAGGTCTAAAATGACTTTTGAAGTTGCTGAATTGGCTCTGAGCAGTCAGCAGCTTCCCAGAACATACCATGGCGAGCTGAGACTGCAGCTCTATTTCCAGGCTCTGGAGAGTCCGTTTTAAATCTGTGATCTTGCTCTTTCCCGACTGAAGCTGCTCAGTGTTGGTGGAGATTTCCCTTTTCAGCTCCCCGCTCTGAAATGACAAGGAAGAATGGGGTGTAATTTTACAGTTCCAAGTATTGAACTAATTTTCCCGTGCATTTTGCTGAGTTTGCTCTCTCTGATTGTTACTTTTTCATTGAACCACGCCTCAGCCTCTTTACGGTTTTGCTCGGCAATGACTTCGTACTGTCCCCTCATATCATTCAGAAGCTTGGTCAGGTCAGTCCCTGGAGCAGCATCCATTTCCACGCTGACTTGGCCAAATTCACTGCTTTGGATGCCCTGAAGCTCCTGGAGAGATTGAAAATAAAGAGAAGGGTCTGTTACTAAAAGACAAAATAGTACTACCAAAATATGTGTAAAGAAATATATGTGATATAAATTCTGTTTCAACAAGGATCTGTAACTTGATTCTTGGACTCTTTCACTTAGCAAACTCAAAAAATATCAGCAAACAAAACCTATAATGAAACCCAGGACCTGGTTTAAATAAAGGAGTAATTTGATGTTTCACAATTTCATGTGTCTTGTTATGAATTCACAAAGGAAAAAAATAACCTCTTCATGATTCTTCTTGAGATAAGCCAGTTCTTCATTCAGGCTTTCAATCTGCATCTCCAGATCTGCCCTGGTCATGGTCAGCTCATCCAGGACTCTGCGCAGGCCATTGATATCGGCCTCCACACTCTGCCGAAGAGCCACTTCATTCTCGTATCTATGCATAAAGGGATTAAATATTATTTTTTACATGATCAGTGAGGTCAAATGCAAACTATTAATGTGCTTTATTTTAGCTTTAATATGAAAACTTAATACACATAATTATTATAATATTGTTTAATAATTATATTACAAGTATTCTACAAGGAAAGATATTTTTAATACCAAAGAACTTTTTCCTTAAGTTATTAGTAGGAGTTTTTGTAGCATTAAGATATCCTTACTTCACTCTGAAGTCATCAGCAGCCAGTCTGGCATTATCAACCTGCAGAATGATCCTTGCATTGTCGATGGTTGCATTGATGATCTAGAATACAAACAGTGTTCAGAGAATGATGTTACAGCCCAAAGGCTTCATGGCTTTGTAATGGCTTTAAACTTTGTGTTCTGCAAGGGTTTGTAGAACTGAAATCCAACACTGCCTTCTCCGTTATTCAGATTAGACAAATCACTGTGTGACACAACTACAGAACAGCTTTAATGTACAGGAAAAATTCAGCACATGTCACCAATGCAAGGTGACAGAGGTCACTGCAAGTGTCAGTACCAAAGGATAAATGTACTCTGGGTTTCTTAAAGGAATTTGTTATTTTCATTCATACTATTAAGTGAGTTACAAATTTAAAGATACAAAAAAATACATTGCTTTGCTACCTTGTTTCGAAGATCTTCAATGAAGGGGTAGAATTTACTGTAGTCGTTCCCAGATCCAGGGGTGCCAGTGCCAGGGCCACTTTTCTCATACCACTCACGGATTTTGCGCTCCAGCTCGGTGTTGGCATCCTCCAGAGATCTCACTTTGTCCAGATATGCAGCCAGACGGTCATTGAGGTTCTGCATTGTCTCTTTTTTTGAGCCAGAAAGAATGCCACCATCGCCAGCACCAGCAGGGCCAAACCCACCTCCAAAACCAGTCCCTAAGCCACCACCAAAGCCACTTCCAAAAGCAGCACCTGAGCTGCTGCCAAAACCACTTCCCAAACCTCCCCCAAACCCACTGCCCAAACCGCTTCCATAGCTACCACCCAAACCACCTCCAAAGCTTCCACCAAAGCTGCTGCTTAAGCTGCTTCCATATCCTGCACCTGCGCTGGCCCCAAAGCCCCCAACGAAGCCAGAGCTTGAACCCAACACAGAAGCTGAGCCAAACCCTCCACCAGACCCCCCACCAAACCCAAGCCCACTGCCAGCAAAGCCTCCTCCACCACCAGAACCGGACATCCTCAGAGATCCCCCTCCAAATCCACTCCGAGAGGAGGATTGCCGGGACCCGCCGCTTGTGCGCACGGAAAGGGCCATGGTGCTCGAGGTGCCTGGATCTGCCCCGTGGAGGATACAACAGAGAGTACGGCAGAGTGGGAGCAGGGTCAGCTTTATAGAGGGACAGCAGTGGGTGTTTCAGGAGGAGTCCCCACCTCCTGGGGAGAGCTCTCACTCTCTCCTTCCTGTTTGGAGGAGATGTCAGTTTTGTATGTTCTGACCAACTGAAATGATATGTGCTAACCGAAATTGCCAATGGGAGTGGAAATCTGGTGCCCTCCAGGTATTTGTATGAGGGGAAATGGGTGGAGTGGAGCTGAGATACCACGATTGTGTTCTGCCATGTGCAATGGAGCACAAAAAGTTCTTTTTGCATTTAAATCCCTCCTAAATAATTGTTTTGTCATTGCAGATTCAGTGCTTCCTGCATTTGGGGCTGTTCTTACAGGAGTTTGCTAAGTCAGCAGAGTGATCCCTTTGATCCCTGCTTCTCAGCCTGTGTGACAGGAATGCCTTTCTTTTTGTAATGCTCTTCTGGCAGGAACCTCTGCTAAATTAGTGCTCCTGGGTGCTTGATAGGAAGTAAGAAAAGTGACCATCAGGTGTCCTAGGGCACACAGATGTTCAGTGAGCTGCAAAGTGATCATTAATATGAAAATATAAATATATCAAATAAGATTTGGAATTGGGTTTATGCCCTAACCCTTTAATCATTGAAATACCTCAGAGTGATATGCTTATAGTCTGTATTGTATAGTCTGTAGCATATGAGAGTTTGTATTTTGGGGCTGGGAACTCACCATTGTGTCTGCTAAATAGTTTGCTGTTATCTCAAAATAACAAACCTGATTTCTGTATTTGGTGCTTTTTATAATACAAGTCTAAAGATCAAATGTAGTGCTTCTGGGTGCAGGTTTGGGCATGGGAACCCTTCCAAGCCAGTATGTTTTTCTTTTGAAGTTATTTTGATAAATGGAAAATTATTTTTCCTTTGTCCTGGCTTAATTATATCATTGGATTTGTCAATTTAAATGCGTTAATTTTTGATTTATCCACACCCAGGAGCATGGGGTGCTTTTGGGGCAGAAAAGAGTGGAAGATCAAAGGTGTAAGTAAAGCATTTCTGTGGAAATGAGCTGATAGCCTGGTCTCAGTGACTCGGGGCAGTGAAAGCAGAGGATTAATTCTTTGGCAGCTGTTTATGTTCAGTACATAGCTCTGGACAGGTGAGGTTTCATAGGGAAGAGCTTTGTGTGTTTATGTTCTCAAGAGGAAAATGTAAACTTCTGGGACTGAGAATCCAGGTGTGGCACAGGGGCCTCCCTATGGGACAGGGAACATTATTGGCACAGAAAGGTTTGAGAGAGAGGGAGATAATTTCAAATATATTCTTCTTGATAAAATATCTTGGCTTGCTGTAGTCCCTGGTGATATAATCATTCACAGAATGTGAAAAATATCAAAAAGTCTTCTTCAATTTATTTTTTCATGTTAATATATTATGAAAAGCAAGTTGACGCTTCATAATTATTTGAAAATCAGGTTTTAATGAAGTGAAGCTGCTTTATGTTTGAGTGGGAGTTCACATTCAGAAAAGGTGTGCTGAACTGATGCCTTAATGCATTTTAAAAACCTAATACTTCCATTTTTATCTGTGTTGGAAGCAATTACACATTCATATCAGGCTGATTAGTTTTTTTTCATCAAGGTACTTACTATGTAAGTTGACCCAAAGTCTTCTATGTTTTGACTTACAGAATTTTATTAATGCTCCCCCACAACAACAACAACAACAACAACAACAACAACAACAACAGATTTGATATTTTTTAATCCTTCTGGGGTTTAGGGTGAATTAGATAAGATTCTTTATGATCTTTTAGTTTTGACATCTCCGGGGAACTCAGAGGCATCTTTTCTGCTGGTGCCATTTATATCTTTTCTTCAATCTCTTTGACCTGAGAGGAGACAATCTTGCCATCAACCACCTCCTCAACTATTGTCTTGATCTTCTTAAATTTACTTGGTTCTGTTAAGGAAATTGAAAAGAGAAGTAATTTAATGCAAAGTTCACTGACAGAGTAATATTGCTGCAGTAGTAGCAGTCAATGAGGAAATATCAAAAAGCATCTTCAGTCCTCAGGTCCTTGAGGTAAACTTTTGCAGTGTGCAGGGTGTGGCTGCTCTTTTGGATATTGAGTATGTTGCCCATAGACTGTAGTGGACACTGGGTTCAATAACTCTCTAGTGCTCCTGATAGTTTTGCTTCAGTTTAGCACTGACTTGTAGACATAAAGCCTTGGAATAGACTTACACCAAATTGGAAATTTTTGCTATGAAACTGGATGTTACTTGGAAGCCTCAGTCTCCCTGTGCAGCCAGTAGGGAGAAGCAGGTGCTTCTGCAGCTCTCCAGAGGGGAATTCAGTAATTCTCTGTTGTTCTCTTGGCTCTCTGAGGACTCACAGAATCACAGAATGGGTGAGTCTGTGATTTTACACTGGGCACCTGATTGTATATATAAACTCAGGTTTGTATAGTCCCCACACTGTTGATTACTTTCTTGATGTGATATTCCACTGGCTGATTGTCTGCTCTGAAGCTGTTGTTTTATATCAGGCTACTTCATTCCATAGTGTTCCAATAGGCAGCCATCAAAACAGAAGGAAGTTGGTGGGACATACCTTTTTCAGTCTCTGTTGTTGATGTTATCACTTCCAAATGCCTGTTCAAATTAGAAATTAGAACATGTAAATATATGGCAACTCATGTATTGAAGAAACATCCTTGTGCATTTCCTATGTGTTTGATCAGGACAGTTAATCCCCTTTCATCAAGACATTTAGTCAGGAGATAACTCAGTAAAATGAGTTCTCGCAGTTAAAGTGAAACTTGCTAAGCATAAGCTGTAGGTGCAGTTAATCTGCAATGCCAGGACTTCACCTCATGCAGGTACACCCAGTCTAGTTCCTGAACAAGGTAGAATCTGGAAGTGAGTTCCACTCTCTGCTTAACCCACATGGACAGGTTGATAGAAAACTGCATTAGTGGTGTTCCTGGCATGTGAACATCTACCTGACTCCCCAGCTCACAGAGTGACAGTCTGTAGGCTGGGAGAGCCCACCTCAAAATTCCACAGCAGCTTCAGCAGCCCAGCCTGAACAGCAATCTGCTCTGATTCTGTGGCTGAGAACTGGGCAATGGGCTTGCCCACCCCAAAGCAGCTGGAGAGAGGCAGATCTGACACAAAACCCAAACCAAAACGCAAAGCCATGTGTGTGCTCACCCGCTTTCCTCTCCCTCAAGCAGCCGGCGGTACGTGGCGATCTCCATCTCCAAGTGAGTCTTGACATCCAGCAGGGTGCTGTACTCATTGTTCTGAGCTTCCATGTCAGCTCGGAGCTGCCTCAGCTGAGCCTCCAGACTGGAAATTGCTCCCTGTATCTGGTCAAGCTGGTAACTGTACCGTGCTTCTGTTTCAGCCACAGAGCCTTCCAGGGTCTGTTTCTATAGTCCATGGGAAGAACAGTGACATATTATTTAGAGGATACATTTTTCTGTTGAAATAACATTTTGATTGCCCCTCATTCCTCTATTTATCTGTGTAACTCTCTGCTATCCACAGTGCTTATTTTGCTTTTTGTTATTTACCATGGTCAGCAGGGACTGTAATTCCAGCTCCAGGTTCTGGAAGACCTGTCTCCGTTCCGTGATCTCTTTCCTTTGGACCTCCAGCTGTTCAACATTGAGGGCAACTTCCTGGTTCAGTTCTACTGTCTGGAATGAGGAATGGAGGGACTGTGAACTGCAGCCAGGCATGACTGAGGTTCTTACTGGTGTTTAAGCAGTTGACTTTACCTGCTTTTCAAAATGTTCTTTGGCTTCTTGGCGGTTCTTTTCTGCCATTTCTTCATATTGCTTTCTCATCTTTTCCATAATAGCTGCAAGATCAATGCCGGGAGCAGCATCCACCGCCACGTTCACAGAGCCGCTCGCCTCTTTGCGCAGCCTGTCACGGTCCTGCAGCAATGGGGACTGTGTTAGCACCGGCTGCTGGCTGCTGGCACTCCTGGGCACTGGACACAAATTCAACATCTACATGCATAGGACTAATCCTTAATAGTAGCTTGGGGCAAGACAACTTAATCACTTTGTAAATACTGCTTAGTGCACCTCATCTTGGAACAGTTTGCTTACTTTATGGCAATAAATGTTATATCATAGATAAATGTATCATAAAAATTATTTCCTCAAAACTGAACCTGTGGAATGAGGGCAGAAGTCATGGCTCCCATTTGCATACTTTTTGAGGTAGCAATTCCTGAACCATAAATTTTTCTTAGGGGAAACCTTCACTCCTCCGTTCCTGGAATGGAGGAGTGTTCAGCCCTCGATTCCTGACAGCTTGAATGTCCCTTAGGGCCACATAGGGTTACGCTGCTTCCAGGAAGGATAGAAATTCCCTAGTGAGGTTGTGTTTGCCACTCTAAACCCCTCTCCCTGGCAGTGATCAGCTGCTCTCACCTCCTCATGGTTCTTCTTAAGGAAAACGAGTTCCTCTGTTAGACTCTCAATCTGGGACTCCAGGTCAGCATTTGTCAGAGTCAGGTCATCACGGACACGGAGCAGTCCAGTGATGTCACTCTCCACGCTCTGCTTGAGCAGGTGTTCATTCTCAAACCTGTACAATGCAATGCCTTTTGTCATCATTGGAATGCAACAGTTTGGAGTAAATGTTAGAATCACTAACTACCACAGTCATTGTGAAATTTTTATTAAACTTAAAGCTGGAAAATGTTCACTCCTTGGCATCGATTCCAATAAGTGGAAGCTTTCCTAAATAAGAGGAGCATGAAAGAGAATTGATATAAAATTGTGGAACTTACTTCAGCCTAAAGTCATCAGCAGCCAGCTTGGCATTGTCGATCTGCAGGACAAGCCTGGAATTTTCCATCTGGGCAGCAGAAATCTAAAGGGAATGGTGGACAAGCAATGAAACTTTGCATAGAAATTTACACTTGATCTTTTCCTGGAAATGAATACTGT